TTGAGCCCCGAAAAAAAAATTGTCTCAAATCGCCCCGGAAAAAAAATTTTCGTATAGAATGTGGCCTGTAGAATCCATAATTTCAAACAGTTCCAAGATTGGGCTACTAGTTCAAAAGTTACAGCCCTTTGAATTTTCTTTCGAAATTGGTTTCCAGTCTATAACTTTTGATTGAGAAGTCTGATCGAAAAAGTACGAATTGTTTTGGATTCTACGCACCAAAATTAATAAGAAAAAGTGGTTTCCCGAGAAATTTTGGTGTAGTCGATTTTTGGTAAAAAAGGAAGGTTATACACTGCCTTTTTTTGAGGCCCGAAAAAAAATTGTCTCAGATCGACCCGGAAAAAAATTTTCTTATAGAATGTGGCCTGTAGAATCCATAATTTCAAACAGTTCCAAGATTGGGCTACTAGTTCACAAGTTACAGCCCTCTGAATTTTTTTTCGAAATTAGTTTCTAGTCTATAACTTTTGATTGAGAAGTCTGATCGAAAAAGTACGAATTGTTTTGGATTCTACGCACCAAAATTAATAAGAAAAAGTGTTTCCCGAGAAATTTTGGTGTAGTCGATTTTTGGTAAAAAAGGAAGGTTATACACTGCCTTTTTTTGAGCCCCGAAAAAAAAATTGTCGCAGATCGACCGGGAAACGTTTTCTACTTATATACTTATAGAATGTGGCCTGTAGAATCCATAATTTCAAACAGTTCCAAGATTGGGCTACTAGTTCAAAAGTTACAGCCCTTTGAATTTTCTTTCGAAATTGGTTTCTAGTCTATAACTTTTGATTGAGAAGTCTGATCGAAAAAGTACGAATTGTTTTGGATTCTACGCACCAAAATTAATAAGAAAAAGTGTTTTCCCGAGAAATTTTGGTGCAGTCGATTTTTGGTAAAAAAGGAAGGTTATACACTGCCTTTTTTTGAGCCCCGAAAAAAAAAATTGTCTCAGATCGACCCGGAAAAAAAATTTTCTTATAGAATGTGGCCTGTAGAATCCATAATTTCAAACAGTTCCAAGATTGGGCTACTAGTTCAAAAGTTACAGCCCTTTGAATTTTCTTTCGAAATTGGTTTCTAGTCTATAACTTTTGATTGAGAAGTCTGATCGAAAAAGTACGAATTGATTTGGATTCTACGCACCAAAATTAATAAGAAAAAGTGTTTTCCCGAGAAATTTTGGTGTAGTCGATTTTTGGTAAAAAAGGAAGGTTATACACTGCCTTTTTTTGAGCCCCGAAAAAAAAATTGTCTCAGATCGACCCGGAAAAACAATTTTCTTATAGAATGTGGCCTGTAGAATCCATAATTTCAAACAGTTCCAAGAAGATCCTCAATGAGGTTTCAAGGGTGTTCTGGAGGGTGTGGGGCATAAAAACACTAATAGTTACAGAATCATGTTGGAGAGCTTTTAGAGCCTCGGACAGACCCTGAAACCCAATCTTTAAGAAACGTTAAGATCCTCTATGGGGCTTCAAGAGTGTTCTAGAGGCTCTGAGGCACAAAAGCAATATTAGTCACCGATTCATGTTGGAGAAATTAGAAACCTCGAAATCCATTTGAGTCTTTAAAAAAACTTACAACGTGTTTTGGAGGCTGTGAGGCACAAGAATACTATTGGTCACACATTCATGTCGGAGAGATTAGAGCCTTTATAGCCTCTGACAGACCTTTAAAACCCATTTGGGTCTTAAAAAACACTAAGGTCCTTCATGAGGCTTGAAGAGTGTTTTGGAGACTGTGAAGCACAAAAACAGTAAGTCACAGATTCATGTTGGAGCCTTTAGACAGACCTTTGAAACCCCGAGTGAAACCCATTTAAGTCTTTAAAACAAACTTTAAGATCCTCCGTGAGGTTTCAAAAGTGTTGTGAAGGCTTTGAGGCACAAAAACCACTAAGTAATAGGTACAAATCCATGCAGGAAAGATTAGAAAGCCTTTGACAGACTTTTGAAACCCATTTCAGTTTTTAAAAAAACTTCTAAGATCCTCCATGATGTTTCAAGGGTGTTTGATGGCTGTGAGGCACAAAAACAATAACCTCGACAATAACAGTCATGGCTAGAGGCCCTTTGGAGTATCTGACAGGGCCCTTAAGAGCCTTTATGAACTCCCAGGGGGGTGTTCTTGAGATTTTGAGTAACAGTCACAGATCCAGTTTGGACAATCCTCGGTCCCTAGGGTATGGCATTGGGGGAAAAAGTTACCTAGGCAAATATTGACCTTTATCGTCGAATTTCCACTCGAAGCGACGTTTGCTTATATCATTTCGTGGAAAAGCATCGACATGTGGAAATTAAACCACGTTTCGCATCATAAACCATACCCTTCAGTAGTTTATTATTATTTACGATCCTAGTTCACTTTGAAGCCGTTTCCAATCTTTATTTTTACAAGCAACGCGCGTGAAAAAACACTTTTAATCTCAAAAGGCAAGCAGTTTCGAATACCTATATCGCAAAACCGGTAAAGTAGACGCTTCGTTTGGGATCCGCAGGTAAAAAAGAAAGGGGATTACGGGCGAAAATAGATTTCGACGAGCGATAAATAATTAACTTGCACCTGGAGACGTAAATAACAAAAAAATGCCGATTTATAAATACCTTGGTGGCCTTGATCAGTTTAGCGTTTGAGCACAATCGACACGTAAAAAACACATCGCGTTGTTTACGTGACGCCGCCGCAATTAGAAAAACAACGCACGTTATGTCAAACACATCGCAAAAAACAAGGCGCTGCTAATTTATTTATGTTTACTGCTACACATCGCACGAGAAACTGAAAAGCGGGCTTCACTTCGGGCAGGATTCTGAGTCATTTTGTTAAAGCGACGTTCTATTGGTTATGGGCCCGAGCTCGTGTAGCACGAGACGAGCGCACGCAAGCCGCGAGTGGGAGAAAGAGGGAGAGCTTCACGGCGCCGTAGACGTTATCGATTTTCAACTAAAATGTTTGTCTTCTGCTTCTTGTATGCGCCCAACTCGCTGTCCATTACGTAATATTTTATACGAAACGTCATAAGCATAAACAAATGAGTTTGTATGGGCTCGGTCGTTTACCCGCACCACCTGTAAATCGACGCTCGCGAGAGAGGGGGGGATCGTGATTTCTTGTAGTTCGGGTACGAATTTATTCCCATCAGTCCATCGAAACTTATATGGAAGGAATATAATTTTGTGTTTGCAGGGGTCGGGGTTTTTCTCAAGGGTGAGTTGACAATAGGACCGCAGGTGTCCCAAACAAAGGGCAATTTCGGCTCTTTATTCACGTGAGCATAGCTTGGTACAGAATTTGCCGATTCTGGAGGGTTTCCACCTACAAAGTCCCATAGTTTCAAAAAATTTAATTTTAGAAACATGTGGGGGCCCCCCTTTGCACCAAAAGTAAACTTTTTCTTAGTTGCAAAGTACTTGGCACCAAATATGCCTCGTGGAAAAATTGTTTTTTGATAAAATCAAAGAAGTAAATAATCTGCCCCCCCCCTCTCGAACGAATAGAAAATATCTACTATCTACAACTATGTCCCTATGCCAAATTATGCCCCCCCCCCCCGCCCTAGGTTTTCTTGCACCACACGCCTCAAGTGTAATCGTTTCATAAAGATATTCTTACCTAACACCGGGGAGTCGGGAATACCCCAGCACAGGGGGTCTGGGGGGTATGGAATACCCCTTGGGCAACACAATCCCTCAAGCACATATGAAATCAGGATGCTCATGAAGGTTTTTCTAAAGACGGCCACTGCATCTTCTGTTTCCTGGGGGATATACTCCCCAGACCCCCCGGTGCTACAATTGCTACCAAAACTGCCACCCCTTAAACTCTCTGTATGAAATATCTATCAGAAAATATTCACACAAACATTTTGGATGAAAGCGTAACACCGGGGGGTCTGGAATACCCCCCAGGAACTTTGATCAAACTTTCCCGAAAGCAGCTTCCATAGTAGTTTTGTGGGTAGATAGTCTATTCCTCCAGTTCTAGGGGTATTCCATACCGTCCATTCCAGAACCCCCCAGTGGTTCCAAACTCCACCAAAACTATCAGCCCTTAAACTCTCTGTACAAAAATATTCACAGAAACATTTTGGGTGAAAGCGTAACACCGGGGGGGTCTGGGGGGTATGGAATACCCCTCAAGAAACTTACTGAAACTATCCCTAAAACAGCTATCATAGAAATGTTTTTGTTAGGTAATCTATTCCTTCTGCACTGAGGGGTATGCCATACTCCCCAGATTCCCGAGACATCCACGGTGCTCCAAACCCCACCAAAATAGCCAGCCCTTAAAATAATCATACAAACATTTAGGGCGAGAGCGTAACACCGGGGGGTTCGGGGAGTATGGAATACCCCGCAGGAAATTCACTGAAACTATCCAGAAAGCAACTATATGGTAGTTTTTTAGATAGGTAATCTATACCTCCTGTGTTGGGGGTATTCCAAACCCTCCCAGAGCTACCATAGCCACCAACACTTTTAACCCCGTAAATTCTCTGTATGAAATCTGTCAGAGAAGAAAATTTGACCGAACTCATACAAACATTTCGGGTGAGAACGTAACACCGGGGGGCCTGGAATACCCCTCCATGAAATTTATTCAAGCTGTCCAGAAAGCAGCATCAGGGTAAAAATAACCCCCCCATTTTTTTTTAGGAAAATACAGGTTTTGAAACACCAGGAATCCAAAATCTCGCTAATGTCGATCTGTCTGCACTCTCATTTCCGGCGCAACGATTGAACCGATTTGAACCAATTTGGTACTTTGGTTCTTAGACATAAAAGAGCTGAGAGAATTACCCCCTTCCCTCGAGTCACCGATTTTTCCAGGTTTCCAGGTTAAAAATACTGAGCGTAATTTTCTTGCACCATATCCCTCAAGTTAAAGAATTTTTGGCGGCAAATCGTTAATTATGCAATGTTGCAAATATGCGCTGCAACAAAAAGTTCTCAAGGTAAATTCGCCGGTTTGCTACACTTCCCTTGTTACCCGCAGCTTTTCAATTACAAAAATTGCAACATTTTAATCTTTTTGTAAACGAGACGATCATAAAAGCGACGAGAGTGGTCGGGGGCGGAATTTCTGTTTAGTAACGCTTCCTTCACGCTCAATACAATTTCGGCACGAATCTCGCAGTCGCGCTTAGCAATTCGGTTCAGACATATTGCACCACCGTGTATAATTAGCTCGACAATTAAGAAACAGTTACTCACCCTTGACTTTGGGGTGTGCTTGAGGCCGATCGCCGGCTGGCTTCTGTTGCTCTGAAACAAAATTATTAACGTTACTAGTTTCCGTGAATTGTATAAGTTCCGGATCGGTTATTGTCACGTTGCTCCCCCCCGATCGACGACGGAAGGGCTGGAAATTGCTCAATTGAAATTAATCGCGAAGAGAATAATTGTATAGAAACGACGAATGATAGGTACGTTTTCAAACACCCGGTATAATTCGTAATGGACAAACAACCAAATTGGGGATGGTCAGAGTAGGGGGGTTAAAGTACCTCGCTCCACTTCCTATTCTGTGGCAGCCTCAATTCGGTGCTTTGAATCTCTTGAATTTGCTTAACGGTTCGTTTCAGGTCCGCCTGGAGCTTTTGCTGGATCTGCTTCTGGATCATCGCCTTCTGGTCGAGCTCGCCGCTGTTCTCGCCATCGTGCAGGCAGCCTCCCTTCCGCCCCATCTTCTCCCTTTCGATTCGCTGCGTGAGAAACTCCTCGAGCTTTCGCGTGGTGTTCTGGAACTGGCTGGGCGGTATGAGCGGCTGGCGCTTCTCCACCTTGGGCAGGTACCGGTCGTCCGGGGGTCGCGGTCGAAGGTCGACCGCCTGGGGGAGGAATTGCTCGAGGGCCTGGGCGGAGACGACGAAGTTGGGCTTGTGCGCGGGACGGGGGTCCTCGGGCTGGGAGGACTTGCGTTGGTGGGTGAAGGTCTTGGTCGGCTGCTCGGCGAGCTCCGGCTGGGAGGACTTCCTCTGGTGGGTCTTCAGCTCGGCGACGTCGCGCTGGATGAAGTCCTTGAAGCCGCCAGAGTCCGACGAGGTCGAGTCGACCGACTCCATTTTGGTCATCGTTTTACCGTTCAGTTCCTTTTTGTTGGGGTTGACCATGATTCGGCAGCAGTCGTTGCCGACATTCGAAAGGATACTGCAGCAGACAGTGCTGGGTGAATTTGGGGCTTTCTTTGAGCTCTCCTGGGGCTGGAAACTGTCGCAAAGCGTCGTCGGCCTCTCGCTTTGGGTTTTCGTGTAAAAGGTCGCCGTTTCCGGGGGTTGTAAAGGCTTAGGAACTCGATACTCATCGTTCTTTTGCGCCTTTAAATTGATGGGCGGCACGTACTTCGGCTTCGAGGCAATCACTGGTTTTGGACCCGTAATTTTCGGCTTGGAATCTTGCATTTCGAAAGGGCTGCGTTTATCCCATCTTCTCTCGGCACACACAATCAATCACCTTCGCGTAATTACAATCATTAGCGGAATATTGACGACGTTTCGCCCGTCTCATATTTATAAACACTTTGTGAGGTTGGGGTAACCTCCCTTGCACGGGCTGTAAGTATGCAGCTCGACGCTTGGAGGCGCACGGCGTCGCGCGCTCGATAAACGCAAGGAAGTCGAAGGGCGCGAAAGGTGAACCCATTTCGAACATCTTTCTCAACGCACCGGGACCGTTCGTCCTAACCCCACCGCCATCAACCCTTAAAAGCGCACCCTCACTTGCCCCAGTCCAACTCGCCAACAGGGAAAAACAACGAAGAGGTGGACAACGAGACCTTCCCGTCACCGGCTTGTCATTCATCCACCGAATCGCGAAAGAAAAAAAAGTGAAACGCAACCGTGACTTTTTGCGCGACAAAAATTATCGAGCGATAATTACGGCTCAAGGTGGTCCGCATCACGTAGATCGAGATAAAATGGAGTCGATCAATTATTTATAAAATTCCGCCGAAGAGTCGATTAGGGGGAAGCAAAGTCGCGGCCGTAAATTGCCACTATTTCTCAATTTCGGCGGAAAATTGTGTTATTTTGGTACGATCGGCCGATTACTTTAATCACAAACTTATCTCGAGGATTATGCTCTCCTGATAACAAACTGATAGTTCAATATCAGTAAGTAAGACGCCTCATTCTCTCGTGCAAGATGGTTTTTCATAGGAATGAATGGAATGCTGAGATCCTGATACATTATACTCCTCCTAAAAACAGTAACATTCCGATTTCAAAGGTGGCACTTTAATAAAAAAAAGTCCACTCAAGTTTTATTACGCTCACCTCGTTCCAAAGAATAAATAACAGGATCACATAAATGCAAAAAAGGTGTACTCCGCCTTCTCCAAGAGCTAGAATGTCAAATCAAAAATGTGTAAATAGGATTTTCGCCATTTTTGTACCAATCGGTACCAAAATGACAGGAATGAAGTTAATGATGAGATCCTGGTACGAAAATCCACGGAGAAATTCAGATGTAGATAGTACATTAACGGCTAAACGTTTCTCAGATACTAGGCTCACCTGGTACCAGATTTTCCTCCAAGAATGCCAGGGTTACAGAAATGAAGCCGCGTTCTCTGAAAGTTAGTGTCTAAATGACAGAATGAATCAATTTCTCCCCACGACACAAAACTAAATTTAAATAGATGCATTATGAGATCCTGATACGAAATAGTATTCGGGGATTTTTAGAGCGAAAAAGGTGTAAAGAGACAAAAGATTTCTCAAGTTTACCTTCCAAAAATGACAATATCAGGAGTACATCAATGCAAGAAAATGTGTGCTACACGTTCTCTGAAGGTGAGAGACATGGAAGAAGACTGTTGATACCAATCTGTCCTAACAACGTTATTAAAACAGTGTTAAAATGCCAGGAGCCCAGAATGTAAATTTCAACAGAGGTAGGTATTATGCATTGGTTGCAAATTGGTACTAAATTTTCAGCTTATTGTATCAGGGTCACAGAAGTGATTAAAAAGTGTACGCAACCTTTGTTGAGAGTCTAATATATTCTGCTGCCGAAGTATCTGAAATTTAGCAAGGTTCATGAGTTCCTGATGCAAGGAAGGACCAAAGAAACATGAAACCGTGTAAAGGAACACTCCATGAAACTCTATCCTACCATCCCTTTCTCATTAACCTAGCAAGCAGAAGAAGGATTAAATAATTGTAACAGGATATCAGAAATTGTCATATTAGGACCATAGTAACGTAAGGAGGTGTAAAAAGAGCACTTGCAAATTCAAATATGCGGGTTTTCAAAATTTTCGAATTTCTATGCCCCCCCCCCCCGTCAAAATTAAGTTTTGGACCAAAATAGGAGCCCTAAGGACTTTTTCCTCGACTTCTTCCACAAATCATTACGTTTAAGGGTGAACAATACCAAACTAGGGGTAGGTGGAGTATGGACACCTCCCCAGCATAGGAAGGTCTGTAACAGGATATTAGAATACCCTCCAAAGCCCCCGGTTCGGTATTGTTGATCCTTAGGACTGACCGTTTTGAGGTAAAACGCACCAATTGGGAGGCCGGGGGGTATGGAAATCCCTCCAGCATACGAAAGTATTATGAAATGTATACGGAAATTTGTTCTCTTTTTCCTGGGGGATAATCCATACCCGCCAGAACCCCGGTGATACGTTCTGCCTGAAAACGTCCAGCCCTATAAATAGCGACTTTTTCCAAAAATGAAGGGGTTAAGAATGAACTATACAAAACCGGGGGGTGGTCTGGAGGGTATGGAAAACCCCCCAGTATACAAAGGTCTTATTTTGTATGGAAATTTGTTCACCTTTTTCCTGGGGAGAGAGTTGATGATATTGTTGATCCATGATTTTTGGGAAGAGTCAAGGAACGAGTCTTTAGGGCTCAACGTTTTGAACGAGAACGTAACACGGGGGGTCTGGGGGGTATGGAATACCCCCCACTACACGAAAGTCTTATGACATTTATACGGAGTTTTGTGCTCTTTTTTCTGGGGAATATTCCATACCCCCCAGAGGTACATTCTGCCTCAAAACGTGCAGCCCTATAAATAGCCCTCGACTCTTTTCAAAAATAAAGGGGTTAAGAATGAACTATACAAAACCGGGGGGTATGGAAAACCCTCCAGTATACAAAGGTCTTATTTTGTATGGAAATTTGTTCACCTTTTTCCTGTGGACAGAGATGATGGTATTGTAGATCCATGATTTTTGGGAAGAGTCAAGGAACGAGTCCTTAGGGCTCAACGTTTTGAAGGAGAATGTAACACCGGGGGGTCTGGGGGGGTATGGACTACCCCCCAGTGCACGAAAGTCTTATGACATTTATACGGCGATTTGTTCTTTTTTTCCTGGGGAGTATTCCATACCCCCCAGAGGTACATTCTGCCCCAAAACGTGCAGCCCTATAAATAGCTCTTGACTCTTTCCAAAAATAAAGGGGTTAAGAATGAACTATACAAAACCGGGGGGTATGGAAAACCCTCCAGTATACAAAGGTCTTATTTTGTATGGAAATTTGTTCACCTTTTTCCTGTGGACGGAGGTGATGGTATTATAGATCCATGATTTTTGGGAAGAGTCAAGGAGCGAGTCCTTAGGGCTCAACGTTTTGAAGGAGAATGTAACACCGGGGGGTCTGGGGGGGTATGGAATACCCCCCAATGCACGAAAGTCTTATGACATTTATACGGCGATTTGTTCTTTTTTTCCTGGGGAGTATTCCATACCCCCCAGAGGTACATTCTGCCCCAAAACGTGCAGCCCTATAAATAGCTCTTGACTCTTTCCAAAAATAAAGGGGTTAAGAATGAACTATACAAAACCGGGGGGTATGGAAAACCTGCCAGTATACAAAGGTCTTATTTTGTATGGAAATTTGTTCACCTTTTTCCTGTGGACGGAGGTGATGGTATTGTAGATCCATGATTTTTGGGAAGAGTCAAGGAACGAGTCCTTAGGGCTCAACGTTTTGAAGGAGAACATAACACCGGGAGGACTGGGGGGTATAATACCCCCCAGAGGTACATTCTGCCCCAAAACGTGCAGCCCTATAAATAGCTCTTGACTCTTTCCAAAAATAAAGGGGTTAAGAATGAACTATACAAAACCGGGGGGTATGGAAAACCTGCCAGTATACAAAGGTCTTATTTTGTATGGAAATTTGTTCACCTTTTTCCTGTGGACGGAGGTGATGGTATTGTAGATCCATGATTTTTGGGAAGAGTCAAGGAACGAGTCCTTAGGGCTCAACGTTTTGAAGGAGAACATAACACCGGGAGGACTGGGGGGTATAATACCCCCCAGTACACGAAAGTCTTATGACATTTATACGGTGATTTGTTCTCTTTTTCCTGGTAGGTATTCCATACCCCCCAGAGGTACATTCTGCCCCAAAACGTGCAGCCCTATAAATAGTCCCCGACTCTTTCCAAAAATAAAAGGGTTAAGAATGAACTATAACAAACCGGGGGGTGGTCTGGAGGGTATGGAAAACCCCCCAGTATACAAAGGTCTTATTTTGTATGGAAATTTGTTCACCTTTTTCCTGGGGAAGGAAATGATGGTATTGTAGATCCATGATTTTTGGGAAGAGGCAAGGAACGAATCCTTAGGGTTCAACGTTTAGAAGGAGAACGTAACACCGGAGGGTGTGGGGAGTATGGAATACCTCTCCCCCCTACCCCCCGGGATACGAAAGGCTTATGAGATTTATACGGAGATTTGTTTTCTTTTTTCTGGGATGTATTCCATGGTATGTAGGGCTGAACGTTTTGAGGTAGAACGTATCACCGGGGGGTCTGGAATACCGCCCCCTCCCCCACCACACGAAAACTTTAAAAATTCGAATTTCAAAGTTTTAAAATTCTAAATCGTCTCAAAATTCAGACCTTCGGATCCAGTTTCACGGATCCTTCAAAATATTGAAGGATTCAAATTTGTAAGCCTGAGGGCTTATAGTTTTGGATTTCCAATTCAAAATCCATTAAAAAATTCAGACCTTCGGCCCAAGTTTTTAAAATCCTAAATTATTTACACAATTCAGACCTTGAGCTCAAGTTTCAAAAAACCTTTCGAATTTGGAAGTCTCAGAGCTCATAATTTTGGATCTGAAACTTTAAAAAATCACACATTCGGTCAAAGTTTCAAAAATCCTTTAAAATGCAAACCTAAAAGTTCATCAGGCATCATTCTGGATTTAAAAATCACTTAAAAATTTTGAAAAATCCGTTAGGTCAGAATTCTAGATCTCTTAAAAACATTGAGACATTCAGGGGCAGTTATTTTTTTAACAAAAAGTTGAATCATTTTTGTGAATTTTGTAAACTCACCAAGGTTGTCCGCGACGAAGAACGATAACAGAAAAACTCGGAAACGGAGCGTCCAAGGTCAATACTGATATTATTACAACAATTATGTAGACAATTGACTTGCAAATTGAAACGTTTGCGCTTTATATTCTATTCATAATGCATTGTAATGAGGTGATTCCGTGGCCTTCAGACTAGATTTTTCACACGGTTATTATTTTGTAATGTCAGCAAATACCTTAGTTAGCCCACGAGAGCTT